TCCTCTCACTTGTGTGCACCCCCCCCCCCCCCCCAGCTCTTTGAAAGTCTAAAATCATTTTAAAACAAAAAAGTTAAAATTTCAGCAAGTAAAACATAAGCCAAGAAAGTTTAAAATATTTATTCTCTCATAATAAATATAGCAAGAGAACTCAAATTAAAAAAAACCTTTTTAATTTAAAAAATATATATCTAATCTAATCTCTCTCTCTCTCTCTCTCTCTCTCTCTCTCTCTCTCTCTCTCTCTCTCTCTATATATAAAAAAAAAAACAAAAATTCCACTAAAATTCCATTCAAATGTTTTATTCAAGATTTCAAAACAGACAGCTACACTTTATCTGGCAGTGAGCATCTTCTGACAGCCTTACCTTTGTTACTTAACTCTTCACGTATCCTGATGCTTTCAGAAAGTTTTTTTCTTTAATTGCTTAATATTAAACATAAAATAAGTGAAAATAAAAAGAAGAGGAAACCCAAAATAAACACTCTAAATTCCTTTCTCAATAATAAAACAAATAAAACAATAAAAATTATCATTAAAATAAAAATTTAAAAATAATTATAGGTATTCCTATAATGTACAAAAAAAACCCCCAACAAACAAAAAAAACCTTCCTACTTAAAATCTTTTAAAAGCTAAAAAGGCCACTGGGTGAGTGGTTTAAAAACAAAAACCAACCTAGTACATGCACACGCATGCATATTCACACACAAAATCAATAAAGCCCAACTATCAAACTTATACAAAATAGGGATGTGAATGGTTAACATCATGCTTACTGGGTGACGCGTACTACTTACAGTCAACCGGCAGACTGCTCCAGCTCTGTGGGGCCTGGCACACCACAGGCAGGGATGTTCCAGCCTCCAGCGATCAACTCTCACCCTAGCTGGGGGTGTTGGAGCAGCTGCCGTCTGTTACAAGGCTGCAGCTCATTCTCTGGCCCCATCCAAGGCTGCAGGAGGAATAGCTCCACTTCCCCCACAGCTTCTGCTGCCATGGGGAGTGTGGTGGGCTGACCTGCTGACATGCAGCACCTTCCCTCCCTCCATGGTGATCCCCAAAGTCGTATGCTCGGGGAACGGAGTGCCATGAGGGTGGAGTGGGCAGGGCGATAGTGGGAAGGGTTGGGCATGGGGACCATTAATGGATATGTCCCCCATCCTGTGGATTGTTTAATGGCGCTGGCTGGGACTGGCCCATGGTCCAGGAGTTTGAGACCCCTGTTGTAGTTTCCAAGACGGGGAGTCCCAAAAGCCTACCCCCCCCCAGTTTCTATGATGCCTTCAAAGATAGTAGCAACTGCTGGCCAGGAGCCCAGCTCTGAAAGTAGACCCACTGATGGGAGGGGCAAAGGGGACAATTGCCCAAGGGGCCAGGCAGTTTAAAAGAACCCAGGGGACCTGACTGATGCTGTGGTATTTCTGCCTGCTCAGGGAAAAGCGTCTCATGATTCAAAGATGCTTTTAATATGCCTCATACAGGTTCTGGGGTGGTGTTATTGGGCCCTGGAACCTGGATAGGGCATATCAAAAGCGTCTTTGAATCGAGAGATGCTGCTGACAGTTTTCCCTAGCAGGTCAGGGGAAGAAAGGGGGTGTGTTGTACAGTTGCCCTACGGCTCCTTCAAGCAAGTGGTGGATGGAGCCTGGGCCAGCCCAGGGCTTTTTTGGTGGGGAGAGGAGAGGTTGCTTGGGCCTGAAGGCAATGCTTCTGCCAGCAGCAGCTATTCAGACATAAGGGTGGCATGGCATGGTATGGCCACCCTTCTGTGCTGCTGCTGGCAGCAGCACTGCCTTTGGAGCTGGGCAGCTGGAGATCAGTGGCTGCTGGTTGGGAGCCCACCTGTGAAGGTTGCACTGCTCCTGGTGGTAACACTGCCTTCAGAGCTGGATGCCTGGCCAGCAGCCACTGTTCTCTGACCACCCAGCGCTGAGGGCAGCACATAAGTAAGTCTGCCAATACTGCAACCATCCCTGTAATAGCTTTGCAACTTCCTTTTGGGTCAGGACCCCTGTTTGAGAAACACTGATTTTTAAGGGCTTTACATGTTTATATTTTGCTGGTTTTAAATACAAATTCATGCTTAATTATAACACTGTGAAATTTAATATTTAAATATCTGAAACTGAAATTAAAGATTTTTAAAGTGCTATGACCATGACATTTCTGAAAATGGGCTGTGAATTTTGTAGAGCCCTAGCTTCAAAATTTAGGAACATATTTAATCTTCACCTTTTGCTTCTTTCATTTTGGCTCCCTGTTATACTTCATAGTGAACAATGATGCCCTCTGACCTCTAACATTCCTCATTTATGCATTTCATCTTTGACCGTGTTCTCTAACAAATCTAAATCAGAGGTTGCACAACTGAGGTGGTTTTTTTAAGTATGAAAAAATAAGATTGTTTTCTTTTTACTTTAAGTATAAGTCTAAGACATTAATGGAAAAGATGGATGTAGAGTTCCCTCCTCCCCCCAAAGTTTAAGGTTAAATGGTGACACTTACAAATATTGGGGAACTCTGTTTAATATATGTACTAATGGTTTCAAGGAAAGTGCAAACTATAGGGTAGTAAAAATCTCAAACTGATAAAAATTATTCAGAAAATTATGAGGAAATTAAGAAGGCCCTAACAAACACTAGGCAACTGAACAACATAATAGAGGTCATCTGAAGAAGTGGGTTGTACCCACAAAATCTCATGATACCATGTTTTGTTAGTCTTTAAGGTGCTGCTAGACTATTGTTTTTTTTTAAAGTTTTTCCAGTTACAAGCTAACTTGGCTACCCCTCTGAAGCTTTTGAACATAATAGAGGTTAGATTGTAATTAAGTTTTTCTTTCCATCTTAAGCTATTCCTACAAACTAGAGTCTAAATTAATGGTACTTGTTATTGTGGATGGCTCATTGAAAATAACTCAGTGTATCATGTTGGCCCAAAACCAAACACACACAAGGGTTAGGTTGTATTAAGAAAAGGTTAGAGAATACTAAAAATGAACTGTAATTTTATAAATAAATTATGTGCCTTTCCTTGTTAACTTTGTACAGCTTTGGTTATCCAACCTCAAAAACAATTAGCAGAAAGAGAAAAGATGGGAGTGAAAATGCAATACAGATATGGAAAGACATTTATATGAGGAGAAATGTTAAAAGAATAAGACAGTTTAGTTTAAAAAACAGATAAAAGGGATGTGATGAAAAATATTGAGAAGCAGTTACTAGTACAGAGAAAGTCAACTGTATTTTCTAGTTTTTTTTTCATGATTCACAAATAAGTGGACACACTGTAAAACGAAAGCAATCCATTTAAAACTGATGAAAGGAATGCTTTTCTACATAACCTGTAATTGACTTGTTGATCATATTACTATAAAATATTTGTTCCAAGTCCTTACAAGGGAAAATTCTCTGCAGGAGATTGATATTCTTTCTTAAGGGTCCTGTTGAAAATAAAATATGATTATATAATTAAAGACCTGTTCTTAATGTTTATGCAGAGGGAAGCAAACTTAAAGTTGCCAGCATTAAGGTAGATTCTGCATTTCCTTACTTTGGGGTGCTTTCCTTTACAACAATATCATCCTTTCAAGGTGGATGGATTTTTTTTGTATGGAATTCATTTCACCAGGTAGTCATAAACAATCCGCTCCAGCATATTTGTTATAACGTGAATAATTAACATTCTTAATATTTCTCATGATACATTTTGTTTTCTTTTTCTGATCAGTTGGACAGCTCCTGTGTGTGTGTGTGTGTTAGCCATTTTCCCTGCAATGTGCTACATGGTGGGATTGCACAAAATACTACATGGGAGAAGGTTTATATTGGACATCATTTGGCTTACCTCAAATATTACTGAAGGCTTTCAATTAACAGAGTCGTATGGCAAAGGCTGGTACAAAAACATGGTAAAAGTCAATACTTAAAAATAAATCACCAGCAACAACACACTCAAATACTTTCCATGTTAGGTAAGCAATACATTAAATATTTAACCTGATTAAAATTTGATAAACTATTAACTTCCCCACTTCTTTGATAGGAAGGCTGTGGAATGAGATAAAGCAGTGTCATGCTGGAGAGGACAAACTTCATAGCATCCAGTAAACTTTTTATACATGTATTTTGTTAAGACGGGTTCACATTTCCTCTGTGACTTTGTTTATAAATGAATTGACTCACCCAGACTCAAAACAGCTTGTTTCCATACCAGTGAGATGGATTTTCACTTCAGCCAAGGAGAGTCGAGGCAGAGATAACAGCCAGCAACAACAATAGTCTTCCTCGGTTCATTTGCCAAGAACAACTGGCAGACAAGACTTGTGGAATAACTTATCATGAGTGCACTAAATGGCTCTGAAGCTCTGGAGGCACAGGATTGCTGCTTGCTGGCCACAGATAAACAGCAGGCTACAGCAAAGAGCCAAACTCATGCTAAAAATGTTACCTGGCATGTCTGAGTCAGTAAGCAGCCTGCTAATACAGTGTGACCTGTTCGTTGGTTCATTTAAGTCATGATATAATAGGCTAACAGAGTAAATTATTTTCACTCAAATCAAATTTAGGTCAAGTGGCTCTTGTTTTTTGAAAAAGGTCATTTGGTCTTATAGCATATTGTTCCCAGAAACGCAGAATAAAAATGCATTTTTGTATTGATTTAGGTTATTTAAAAAATATAGAAATAGAAATGGATTGGTTTTGCTTTAAAAAGGTGGCAGTCATATGGCATCTATAGGATTCTGCACGATGAAAGAAACTCGGTCCTAATAGCTTGCATCTGCCATTGTGGAGCTGCTTGTCCAAGGGGGTCTCTCTGCAAAGTCAAGCAGCCATTTAAATCAAGTTAGTTGTATTCAAAGTTCTTGGATTTCTTGTGCACTTTAAATAAAGAAATATTAAGGCAAATGCCCTTCTCAACTATATCACGTCACAGTCAATGTTCTAAAATGACATCATTGCCACACAATTTTTTTAAAGCAAATCCTAGTGCCGGCTAATGGGAAAAAATCCCTATTTCACAAATGTGGTAGAATCCCAGGGTCCCAGGCGATTGCAGCTATTCCATGGTAATTTTGCATGTCTTCCTGCAACAAGCAAGCTTTCTATTAATTAGGATTTAGAACCTAATTTTAAAACAGAGGGGATCAAGTTCATGTGATAGTCGCAACATAGTTGATAATGAAAATATCTAATAATTTTAACAACACAGTGGCATAGCCACCTGTTGTCCCTTCACATCACTGTAATAGATCCCTTGCCCAAAAATATTCAAAATACTCCAGATACCAGGAGCATGTAAGTTGCCAACTTTCTGATTGAACAGAACCGAACACTCTTGCCCTGCCTCATCTCTAAGGCCCCACCGCACTCCATCCTACCGTCATCCTGATTTTAAGAGGAATAAGGGACCTTTCGGAAAAGGCTTTATTTTCCGAAAGATCCCTGTCTAGACTGGCGCTTTTTTCCGGCAAAGCCCCGAGCCGGAAAAAAGCGGCAGCCATGTTCATGCAAATGCAGCGGGGAAAATGTAAATCCCCACTGCATTTGCAATTCCGACTTGTCTAATCTGCATCCCTTTTCCGGAAAAGGGGTGCAGTGTAGACACAGCTGTTGAGCCCAGTGTTTCCTGTAAGCTGTGTGCTTGTGCAAACCACTAAGGAGAGAGTCAAATGCTGCTCAACTGACAAGCAGAGCAGCCACAGTGCAATTCGCACATGCCTCAGTGCACATACAAATTTATTCTGCACATGGATGGAAAAGATTAGAGAGAATATTGGTTGGGTCACCTGGGGAGCCCCCTGGAGTGGCACCTTCATGTTGGTGTAAATAGGTACTTGCCAACCCACTGCCCACCCAGTTCCTTCTTACTGCCAGTGACTGTTATTGGAGCAGCTCAGTCTTACTTATGGCAAACACTTGCCCTGTGTTCTTCCAGAGTCGTTATAAATAGTTCTTAGTTAGTTGTTAGCTAAATAAATAGTAATGGTTGGGGAAGTTTCCTCACATCCTATGTCAGGATCTGCTATGACCTGGCCCAATTTCCATCTCCAGCATTGACAGTTTACTCCATGAGGGTGCAAGCTTCTTTGGAGGCGTTCCTGTATAGTTCCGATTTTTAAGAAAGGGAAAAAAAGCGACCCGGGTAACTATAGGCCTGTTAGTTTGACATCTGTAGGATGTAAGATCCTGGAAAAAATTTTGAAGAAGAAAGTAGTTAGAGACATTGAGGCTAATGGCAATTGGGACAAATTACAACATGGTTTTACAAAAGGTAGATCATGCCAAACCAACCTGATCTCCTTTTTTGAGAAAGTAACGGATTTTTTGGATAAAGGAAATGCAGTGGATCTAATCTACTTTAGTAAGGCATTTGATACAGTACCACATGGGGAATTATTGGTTAAATTGGAAAAGATAGGGATTAATATGAAAGTTGAGAAGTGGATAGGCAACTGGTTAAAGGGGAGACTACAGCGGGTCATATTGAAAGGTGAACTGTCAGGTTGGAGGAAGGTTACTAACGGAGTTCCTCAGGGATCAGTTTTGGGGCCAATTTTATTTAATCTTTTTATTGCTGATCTTGGCACCAAAAGTGGAAGTGTCCTAATAAAATTTGCAGATGACACAAAGTTGGGAGCTATTGCCAATTCAGAAAAGGATCGGGATATCATACAGGAAGATCTGGATGATCTTGTAAATTGGAGTGATAGCAACAGGATGAAATTTAATAGTGAGAAGTGTAAGGTTATGCATTTAGGGATTAATAACAAGAATTTTAGTTATAAGCTGGGGACACATCAGTTGGAAGTAACGGAGGAGGAGAAGGACCTCAGAGTCCTGGAGAAGGACCTCGGAGTCCTGGTTGATTATAGGATGACTATGAGCCGCCATTGTGACATGGCCGTGAAAAAGGCTAATACGATCTTGGGATGTATTAGGCGAGGTATTTCCAGTAGGGATAAGGAGGTGTTAGTGCCATTATACAAGGCATTGGTGAGACCCCATTTGGAATACTGTGTGCAGTTCTGGTCTCCCATGTTTAAGAAGGATGAATTCAAACTGGAACAGGTACAAAAAAGGGCCACTAGGATGATCCGAGGAATGGAAAACTTCTTATAAAAGGAGACTCAAGGAACTTGGCTTGTTTACCTTAACCAAAAGAAGGCTGAGGGGAGACATGATTGCACTCTTTAAATATAGTAGAGGTATAAATACCAGGAAGGGAGAGGAATTATTTAAGCTTAATACCAATGTGGACACAAGAACAAATGGATATA